TCAGGTCGATACATATTCTTTCCCAAGGGATCTCTCGCAAGTCTTTGGAGGCATCAAACCCAGCTTACGCGTCTTGTTTTCAATGCTGGCAGCTTGGCAACGCTGACATACGTCCTGCACAGTCCTGCGCAAACCCTTCCAGGTGTAGTGGTGGCTGATTGTTAGTTCCGTGCGAGTCTCGCTAGGATGCATCAGCACACCCAGGTACCATTCAACTGACTTTCTGCATCGCTTTAGGTACGACGATTCTATAGTCCTTAACTACTAAGTCAGAGGACTTATCCCCTTTGGGGAAAGATTGCTTTTTTTAGTCGTTTGGTTTGTCCTTGAGGAGTTTCTTGATATCTGTGTCGTCTTTCTGACGATGTTCGATCTCGCGGAACGAGAGAGGGAACTCGCAGGGGAAAGTCTCTTCGTCTGCAGCCATGAGGTCAGCGATCTCGCTGGCGTCCATCTTGTCTGAAGAACCGTCGTTGTTCGAGATGTTAAGTCTCCACAACGCATCAGCGAAGATGTTCTGTTCGCACTTGATGTACCGTAGTTCCAGGCCGTATTCTTCCAGAATAAGGCGCCATTGCATTACGCTATCGGTATTTAAGTTCTTATATGTAAGAGTCTTGTGGTCCGTATGTACAACGATCTTTCTGTCCTAGAAGAAGTGTATGAATTCTTTCAGAGTTCTACGATACTGAGAAGTCCCTTCTCGGTAACTGTGTAACTGCCTGAGCGGAGTTGAGCTTCCTGCTGTAGAAAGCGATAGTTTTTCCCTTCTGGTAAATTACTGCACCCAGTTGCGTATCACTGCATCCGTGTGGATAACGAATGTATCGTTGAAGTCAGCGTAGGCGAGCAAGGTTTCTTGCTGATAGTCTTCTTCATCTGGCTAAAGGCCTGTCGTGTTCCGCTTCCCATTCCCACTTCGTTGTTTTGGAAGTCAACGAAGCGAGTAGGGCCAGTACATGTGTCTTCTAATCCACATGTCTCGCATAGTAGTTCACTAGTCCAATGTATCTACTGGAGTTCTTTCTGTTGGTAGGAGGAGCGATAGTCTTGATCGCGTCTATTTCCTTGTTAAGGTTGATCCCTTCTCGAGTAATCAGTAAACCTAGGACTCAAGTTCTCCTCTTGCGAAGAAGGACTGGTAGCATTGATCTAAGTCCGGCTTCTCGAAGCGCTTCGGAGAACTTCATCCAACTTCTCAACGTGATCTGCTAGATCGCGTTAGTTAGGATGAGTAGATCGTCAATGTTTGCACGGACGTATTCTAGGTCGTGCATTAGTGTTCCCATCTTCTCCTGGAAGATGTCGGGACTATTACATAGGCCCATTGGCAACCTCTGGTACTCGTACTTTCCCCACGGAGTACAAGTGGACCGAGTGCTTCGAGTGAGGTGACAGCTCGATGTAGATAGCATGTTCAGGTCTAGACTAGTAGCGTCCTTGAATCCGTCTAGGTTCAAGAGCATGTCCTGTATTTTTGGGATAGGATAAGGCTTCCGCTTAATCTTTTTGTTCAGTTCCCGGAATTCAGAGATGAATCGTACAGATCCATCTTTCTGGGGAATGAAAGTTGGGCCGCCCATCTGGAACGGTTTACCTTCTTGGGTACTCCTGCCTCGCAGGACGTTCAACCTCCATTTTAGAGTGTTGGTATGACACGTGAATAGGATTAAGCTCGGCATGTAGGGTTAGCGATCAGGGAGAAGTTCTATTAGTAGTCGTCCATCTGCCACTTTCCTAAAGTACCATCGAATAGGTCAAGTACTTCGTCAGTAAGGAATGAAGCGGTTCCTCTCTCCGGTTTCTGATCTTGACTTTGGCAAACCTGCCTTAAGTCAGCTTGTTCGTATTCGCATCAAGAATCTTCTTGGAACGATCTGCACTTCATCAACAGCGTTAGGATCAGAAATCAAGTTTCTTCTTCATTGTGTCGCTGTCTTCATAGGAATAGATGCGCCGTCCCATTCCACTGACATGGTAGTGAAATCGAACTTGAATCCATAAGTCAGAGAGAATGTCTCGACCTATGATCATGTCATAACGCCCCCAAAGCTTCTTGGTGACGTGTAGTCCACTCGATAATTCTATCTTGGTGGAATTCAGGAATCATATATGCACCCTTGCACTTCGGCTGGTGTTTAATTCTCCTGCAGTGGTAGTCCACATCTTTTGGACGCCCCCAAGTTCTTTCATGCGTAATTTCTAGCATGAGTTTGAGCAATCAAGGTTCCGTGCTCCTGTATCCAGTAAGCAACGGAGTGTAACGGGTTTTGGTTTCCTTCTCGCTTGTTAATCTAACATAGACGATGGGTTTGAGGTCTCTTGTCTTGCGACGTTTACGAAGTGGTTGGCCACGGACGAGGTTAACGATGCCAAATAGATCATCAGAGTCTAGTTGAGCAGCTCTAGGCAATCATCTAATTTGCCGTAGAGTTCATCAGTTCCAAACAATTCTTTTTTACTAATTAGTAGATATCTTCATCACTTTGGTATGATAAAATGCGACATGGTTCCGTTGAGTCATCTCCTGGCCTAATCTCAGATAGAGATTTCTCCATCCAAGTGATTGAAATGTATAGAGGAGTTGTCCTCATTGTAGATCTTCTGTTTGCGTTGGCAACATGGTTGCGAAGTTTGCAAGGTGTTGCACGAGTATCTCGATCTCGTTTCTTCGTCATTGTCGACGAGAGGAAGAATGGGTTTGTCACGCAACTGTTTTCGAAGTTGCGGAACCATGTTTCCTTGAGCCATATTCATGTGAAGGAATAGATTGAGGTAGCTGAAAGCTATGTTTTTGTTAACAAAATCATACGCTAAAAAGCTAGGTAAAGATCTTTCGAGGTGTTGAGTTTGAGAGAATGAAAGTTGAGAGAGATTAGAAAGCTTGAAAACTAATCAACGCGAGAGATCATCATCAAGGTCGTAGATCTGGCTTCCCGCGGAAGACTATAAAGTGTAATAAAGTAGGTTGTGGTAGATAATCCTAGTCTCTCCACGACCTAAAACGGAACGGTGGAAGGTTGTCTAGCCTATGGAGTAGCGTGAAGTACTCCACGCTGGCTAAATATCAGAGACGATGTTTCATCATCAACCTAGTTAGCTAGCGCGGTCATTGAGAACCTGTCTCAATGACTATTAGAGAGACTCAGTCATGGTATGAGTCGAACTCAAACCCTATCTAGGATCGAGTCGCGAATAAGGCTAAGAGCCGTGTATTGCAGTGGCATAGTCTTGAATCGTCTTCTGCTTTTTCTTAGGGCGTATTTTGTCCAGTCCGATTGCTGTAAGGTACAGTTGGTGGTCTTCATAATACGCAGTATTTGCCAGTCGGACCAGCTTTTTGGCTATGGTCGCCGTAGCTTCCTTGTGAGAACTCTCCACAATGAGTGTATGCAACTCGGCATCAACAGCGTACTCATGACCAAGAAAGAATGTAAAGAATCCATAGTACAGGGAGGAATCCAGCTGCATGGACTCTTTATTATAGCCCAAAAAACGTCTTCCACACCTACTGCAAAGGTATAGCATGGTGTCCAGATAGCGAATGCGTGAGACCCCATAAAGGACTTTGGGACAATTCAACCAGCGAGATTTCTTCAGATCAACTGCATTCCTCTTCTTGCAGTGTGGGCAACAGGGAACATGGTTAGGCACTAGTAGATGCGGGACGAACACAGATATGGGCTTGATGTAAAAGCTTTCTGGGGTAGACTTCTTTCCACGTTGGTTGAGAAGTTGACTGTCAAATCGGCCTTTGGTGGGAGCGATGCGAGTCCAGTCTCTTGGTGGCTTAAAGAAGCTTTGTCCTTCACTGTCAATAGAGTCTCTGGTCTTCAATACAAACTTCCACTGTGATTCAGATAGCTGCTTTGGACGGCGTCGGCTCATGGTGGTGCACTTCCACGATTTTGTGTCATTGCCTCTTGTTATTATCTGATCTTGTGCACCGAACCGGTAGGGTTAGGGACGGAAATTTCGATGGAAACATCGAAATTTCGATTTCTAAGTAAAAATATTTCGGATAGCCACATTACATATACATATAGAAAGTACAGTTAAACTTCTACGATACGTCATGAATGGACTGGTGGATATAGAGGGTAGGAGATTATGCATTACACGTGGAATTATATGAGAAGAGAAGAAAAGGGGCGACGACTACTAGGATGCACACCTCCTCCCCCCCCTTCTTTTTTCCTCCCGCGCGGAACCAACATGGGGCATTACCGGTAAATCCCATCTTCGTCTTGGATCTGTCTGTTACGATTGCTTCCTTGCCACCACCGCATCAAAGACATCTACAACCGCTACTATTAATAGTACTCAGTACCGAGCGCAGTACATGTAATTTTCGTTAGAGTCGAGTGGAGTCAGGGCAATCTAAACTGGTAGCATCAGCTGTGGGCCAATCAGCCCTCAATCAGGGCTCCAGAGAAAGTATCATTGACCAACAGTTTTTATAGAGGATGGCTAGATGGGATCAAAATCATTGGACTGTCACTCGGCTCGGATGCAGCTGGGCTGCCTGAAGCAATACCGTCTGTACAACCGGTCCATTTGGGTACAAGATTGACCGGAACGTTAGGAGCTGCCGCCCAGCACACAAAACGGCAACAGGCGACAAAAAAGGTGCCGGATCTAATGATGCCCACTGGATCTAAGCAGCTATCATAGCATAGCTAGAGGTACGGCGCCTAGTACGATAGGCTCTACCGTAGCACTATTAGTAGCAAGCGGTACCGGTACCGGTACCACCGAACTGGCTAGCTACATGTACGTACATTTAGGTCTACATGTATGTAGACATCAAGACGACCTTCAAGCGACGTCCGAGTTGAGGACAACAGCCGAGCAACCGAGGCAAAAAGACGATGTCAATGACCACAGCACTTCCGGACAACCGGCAGATTTAGTTATTGGAGTATGCACAGTCCGGGCCCGTTGGAGTGTCACCAGAGGCGTGAAACGTTTAAGTACGTCCCAGCATCTCAAAATTATGTCTAAATACAATCAGGTGACCGTTTGATAATCATAACGGTACATCCGACGAATTCGTTACACGCGGCTTCGACTCCGCAAGAGCAAACCTCCACGAAATTTTGCACGGGGTTCTTGTCACATTTCTTTGCCTCTTTCATCCAGAAAAAGGGTCTGTTGCGAACTACCTTGTCCCAAGTCTACCGTATTCAAGAGTATATCAAATCATGGCAGTGGAACCCGCCAAAGCAGAGAGCTATGAAGCTCGCTGGAACCAAGCCAATGTGATTGAAGCGGTGCAATTGTGGAAATTGAATCCGTCGGATCAACAAAAGTTTTTCGTGTTGCAAAAGAAACTCCAAGATGTCCAGCATCCCTGGAACGATCCTCACGTGGTCTTGGGGTTTGTGGAAGCATTTGGGTTTCCGGCAGCCGAACAAAAGTTTCGGAAAATGATCGAATGGCGTCTGCGCAACAAGGTGGATTCCCTTTTGAAGGAATATCATCCAAATCCTCTCTTGATGGATCATTCGCCCGTGGCCTTTCTGGCCGATTATGATCACGAGGGAGATCCGATTTACTGTGAACGTGGTGGAGCTTGTGACGCCAAGGGCTTGCTCAAGCGCTTTTCGAAAGAACAGCTCATGAGGCATTCCATTTGGCTGCGAGAAGTACAGAGCGATGGAGCGTGGTTGGATGATTACAAAGAGCAAATGGGAAGACCCGTCGTTTCCATTACCGTGGTGTACGATCTCCAGGGACTCTGTGGACGTCACTTGCAGCCCAATGTAATTTCCTTTTTCCAACGCCTCATGAATATTACCGAGGAATATTATCCTGGCCCTGTCAAACGAGTCATTGTCATTCGCAGTCCTCCCATCTTTCGAACCGTATGGGCCGTCGTCAAGCACTTCTTTTCCGAAGAGTCGCGACAAAAAATGATCTTTGCCAACAAGGATTATTCTACCCTCCCCTCCCACCCCTCCCTTTTCACTCTCTCCTTTACCGTCCCTCCTCCCTCTCCACTATTTCTCCCCTCCCCTCCTTTCCTATCTCCCACCTCCCACTCCTCTCCATATCCAACCCTCTACTCCCCCCTTCCTACTCCCCCTCCTCTACTCCCCTCGCACCTTACACTCCTCCCATCTCCTGACACATCCCACCTCCCCTTCTCTTCCGCCTCTGCCGTCACTACCTTCACCCTACGCCTCCTTTCACACCCCTCCTCTCCTCCTTACTTATCTACCACCTCAACCCCCTCCCTACCATCTCCTTCTCTCCGCCCCTATCATTTCCAATCCTTTCCCCCTACTTCCTTACCCCTCCCCGCCTCTTCTCCGTCTTCCGCCCCCCTACCCTCCTCTCGTTCCTCCCTCCTCCGCCCCTCCTCCAACTTCCCCCTCACCACTTTCCCACCCCCTCCCCTACGCCCCTCTCCCCTACCTCTAACCCCTAGCTTCCCTCCCCCCTCCACTCTACACACACCCACCCCCACTCCAAAACTTCCAAACTCCACCCCCTAACTCCCCTTCCCCTCACCTAACCCCCTCCTTCCACCCCACCCTCCCCATTCCAACTACTACTCTCTAATCACTCCTTTATTCCTCCTCCCCCTAACTTCCCCTAACCAATCACTCCTCCTTTTCCACCACGCATCCTCCTCCACCTCCCCCGCCCCTCCCCCCCATACTCCCAGCTTACACTCTTTAACCACCTCTCTCTCACTCCTCTCAACCCTATCCCCCCCACTCTCCCTCCTCTCTTCCACCCACTCTTACACACTTCTCTCCTCCACTCTCTCTCTCCCCCCTCCCCTCTCTTTCCAACCTCCCCTCTTTCCCACTTCTTCTTTCCGCAACCGACTCCCTCTCTCACCCTACAACCTCCTTCCTCCCTCTCTTTTCCTCTCCGCGCCTTCTCCTTTCCATTGACCCCATCCACTCCTCCCACTATTCTACTCTATCCCACCCCACCCCAATACCTCTCCTCTCCAACACCCCTCTCCTTTACCCCTCTCTCCTGGTATACACCTTCCTACACCTCCTACCCCTTCGACCTCCCCCCTACTCCTCCCCGCCTCTTTCTCAACGGCTCCTTCCCCCTCTAACACTCTCCCCATACCCTCCCCCCTCACCTCACCTTCCTCTTTACCCCCCCCTCTCTCTACTCTACCTCTTCCTCCAACCCCATCACCATACCCTCTCCTCCCACTACCCCGCCCCTCCCTCCCCTCCCCTCTAGACTCCTTTAACCAAACTTTAATTGGCAGCGAGGCTTCCTTGCCACAACGCACATTCAGTGCATGTGGTTATCCAATCCAACAAGGGGTGGGGGTGAGAGAGCAGCCGCACACTGTTGCAGCGTTTGTGTTGTATTTTTGAGCGTGTTCGACGAAGACGTTGACATTATTTGGCTACGTAGTCATGACTGTGGTGGTGGCTCGAATTCAAACTACGGCATGGAACAATGCAAAAGTTGCTAAGTAGGTGTTGATTTATACTAGGCGATCGGAAGAGTATGTACAAGGAGCGAATCATGCTACCGAAAAGCAATTACGATCTCTCCTGCAGACGACGTCTGGCAGTGTATACTAGCCACACAAGCCAGCACCGTCAGCAATTCGCAGTGACTGTGACGGTCAAGGGTGAATCGGTCTCATCATCCAATTTGGAAACTTCAATTCCAATCTCTTTGCCCATGGGGGTGATAATATCATCGTCTTCGGACAAAGACCCGACACTGGAAGCCGTAGTGGAAGAAGAAGGCGACGATGGCACTCGGGTCAACTTTTGGATTGTCCCTGCATTACCTTCGGAAATGCCAGAATCAATTGGAACGTAGTTGACTCCTCCCTGTTTAATGTGACTAGGCACTTTGCCACCTTCCATACGCTTGGGCATGCCTCGAGCTGTTTTTCCAGTGCCATTTGGGTTGATACAACTGGGTAGTTTTTCAATGTCCATCCATTTGGCCAATTCGGTCA